GCTGGGGCGGCGACGGCGACCGTGGCGTGCCCAAACCCTGGGAGGAGAGGCGGAAACGCCGGAGTCTCTCCAGCGACCGCGGCAGGACTACTCACTCACCTTACGAGGACAGAAGCAGGACAAAGGCCAGTGGGCCGGCTTTGGACCGCAGCCCTGACCGGGCTCGCAAGGAGAACCACACTACAGACCCTGGAGCCGAGAAAGAGCAGAGCAACTCCCTTCAGAACAATCGTCACGCAGCTGAGGAGAAGCCCCACCGTGAGCCGTCTGATGCTCCCCAGCCCAAAAAAAGGGACAGCGAGCGCAATCATCGAACTGGTGAATCGGAATCCAAAACTCACGAGGAGCCAAAATCCGAGACCAAAAAGCTAAAGAATTTATCGGAATACGCTCAGACGCTGCAACTCGCTTGGAATGGGCTTCTTGTGCTAAAAAACAGCTGCTTCCCCACCTCTATGCACATCCTGGAGGGAGACCTGGGTGTCATCAACGGACTCCTCAAAGACCACTCGTCCGGCGGGAAGTTAACGCAGCTCAAAATCGCTCAGAGACTTCGGCTCGACCAGCCCAAGCTGGATGAAGTCACTCGCCGCATCAAACAAGGCAGCCCCAACGGCTACGCCGTGCTCTTGGCCACCCAGTCTGCCCCGGCAGGGGCCGAGGGGACCTTCCCTGTTGTGGAGCCTGGCTTGCAGCGACGGCTTCTCAGGAATCTGGTCTCCTACTTGAAACAGAAGCAGGCTGCTGGGGTTATCAGCCTGCCTGTGGGAGGGGCGAAGGGCAGGGACAGCACGGGCATGCTTTACGCGTTCCCTCCTTGCGAGTTCTCTCAGCAGTACCTCCAGTCAGCACTAAGGACATTGGGGAAGTTAGAAGAAGAACATATGGTGATAGTTATAGTCAAAGACACTGCCTAGCCCACACTGTCTCTTCAAATTCCATGTTTTCTTTGTGTGTCACACAACCCAGTTGTTTTTAAGGCTGATCATTTTGGTGGAGGCTCAAAACACCTCAACCAAAGTGGTAAGATTCTTAGTTTCTAATTAATTTTAATACCATTTAAATAGAGCCCATTTTATTCGTTTTTAATATGTGACACTGTCCGCTGTTGTTCTGTATTTTTATTTTTTAACTGTATGAAAAGTTGTCAGTAAAGCCTTGTTCACTGATGGATTTCTAAACTTGTGCAGTATCCAAGTTCTTATGGCCCCGCAGGGCTGTTGCCTGTGCTGCAGGAGCACCAGGTGAGCCCCCAGCCCAACTCAGCTTAGACCTCCTGTACCTCCTCTGTCTTTATGTGTCCTGCAAGGTGGGAGGGGGAAGGGCATTCTTTGTGCTGCATGAGAGATGGAAAGGTTGGTTCTTTTTTTTTTTTTAATGTTCTGTTTGGCTTTTTCATAAATTTGAGTCTGGATGCATCCTGTTGAGTCTCTATTTGAGGATAGAAGCTTCCCAGGAAGTCAGCTACCAAGGAAGCAAATCCTGATAAGATTAGGAGTGGGTTTTTTATACACAACAAAAAATTACCGTTCATCTTTGGCAGAAAGTTTTCTACTACATAGTCAACCCCGTATTCAAGTTGGTGAGGTTTGAGAGCACCTGATTCCTGTCTCAGTCACAGAAACTCTTGGGTAAAAGAAAAGAGGTTTGACATTCGTGTTTTTTATAAAAGGAAAAAAAAAACCAAGCAGGATTAAAAAAGAGTGATTTAAGGAGAAAGCCTTGTGAGCCTGTGTTTGTTAGATGGAGACAAGCAGAGGGTGGAGGTGAGCAATTGCATAGTTGATCGTGTTGCACTATCTGAAATCCTTTACTGAAAGATAAATGGCAAGTTTATTTTTGCTGAAGTTAAAGCTTGTTTTCAAGCTTAGGGAAAAAGAAAGACATGTCTGGCTGTCTGAGAACGTGTTGTGTTACTGCAGGTGACCTGTGACTGTAGGAACTGCTGGAGATCACAATTTGAGCTCCGGGATGGGGTGGGTCAATCACCTCTGTGTCTGTGGTGTGAGGTGGTTGTTCAGGAGAGGTCAAGACCTCTGCACCTGCAAGTGCTCAGTAAAGTGAGGATGTGGTAACGAGTACAAATTGGAGTTAAGATCCAATGTTCGGTTTGGGGATATTTTTACTTTCTAAAATGATGCCTGTAGATTTTAGGAGGCTCACAGAAAATTGTGTGGGATTGAAAACACTACATTTTAAAGTTTCTTTAAATTTGCAGGTGGTTGGATTTTTTTTTGTCTGGTTTGTTTTGGTGGTAAGCAAGTGAACGAGATCCTGGGGGGAAACAGAGTCTGTCTCGCACCAATCTCTGTGACCCAGTAACTCACTTGCTGACAGCTGCCAAAGGCCCTTTTAAAACTGTGCTCTCAGGTGTGACTGGTGTCAAAACCTATTTAGCAGGGAGCATAACTCAGTGTAATGATGCTTTTATTCTTTCTTATTTTTTAACCCTGCAGTTTCTTCTTAGGGACATCATCAGCTGATGATGTGTAAGCAGTTGCTTAATTTAATAATGTGTTGACATCAACAAGTGTGGGTTGGTTGTTGGGGTTTTTTTTTAACATTTAATACTGTGATTATAGTCAATCTAATGAGTTAGTGTGATCAGGAGGGGGTTAGCATTTCACTTGATGCATCTTCTGTACCCCCGAAAATGTAATTCTGTCCCTAAGGGCCCGAGTGCAGCTCTGAGGCCGGGGAGGGTGTTGGCTGTGGTGCGTGGGGTGGGAGCAGCAGGGGCTGGGGAGGCTGCTGGGCACTGGGGGAGCAGAGGAGCAGCTGCTCCCTCAGCCTGGCCATGCCCACAGCCAGTGAGTGCCTGTGGCTGCAGTGAGTGTAGCAGGACTGCCCTGGTTTTGCACGGTTACAGGGACACCGACTTCACCCTTGTGACCGAGTCCCCGATGCTGTTGTAACATAGACAGTGCCAAATGTCAACAATTGTAACCGTAAAGTGTTATCTGAAACCAAGTGCTATTAAATACCCCTTATGGCCGAGTCCTAGAGTGATTAGAGCCTTTTGTCGGAGCATCCTGTGCGCTGGAGGTGTCTGTCTGGCCTGGGGCAGAGTGTGGTGGTGCCACAGCACCTGGCTGGCAGCCTGGTGGTGGCAGGGAGCTGCTCGGGGCGTGTGTCTTTGCATGTGGCATGGTGTGTGAATGCGAGGAATTGGAAGGAAAAAAATCAGTAAATTATAAAACCTGCAACTGCAAAGCCAAGGAACTGCCTGAAATCCCCCTAGCTATCTCCCAGTTTCCTTGTGAAATCAGTAAATAATGTAGGGTTATTCAGAAGACAAACATTGTTGTTCTTTGGGTTGGGTAAGATTTTTAATGATGGGATTTGTGTTCCCAGAGAGGTGGCTGACGCTTGTGAGCATGTGTGCATGCACAAATAGGTCTCTCTCCTACCAAGAAATTAACAGGTGTAAATGAGCAGTCAGAGAGTTAAGGGAAAAAAAACCAAAAAAACAAAACAAAACAAAACAAAAAAAAAAAAAACAAAAACCAACAAAAACCGAACCACCTGGGAGAAAAACAGCATCAGCCCTCTGACCTGATACTTCCCTGCTCCCAAGAACATTGCTCAAACAGCCTGTGCTGAGGCCCTGTCCTGTAGTTATGTCTGTCATTCCATCCCATGCCATATGTATCCAGGCTGGTTCCAACAGAAACAGACCTTAAAAAGGGTTGACAGAGCAATGTAACACTACATCTGTACCTTAGAGCATCAAGGACTTGTCCCTTAACCTGGGCTGGGCTAGAGTTCTGGGCAGAAGACACACAGTGAGAGGTGAGAGGCATGGGGCTCGGTGATATTGGAAGGTGCTGTATATAACAGTGCAGGGGGGAGTTGTTTTGGGGGGGTGGTGGTGCCTTTCAGTCTAAGTACAGCAGTGGTAGTAAGGGGATCACAGCAGGTCTCTAGCTCCTTAAGGGTGAGCTGAAACTCAAAGTGGGACCAGGGTGTGAGATGGTGGATTGAGTGAGCTCTGAGCAATAGTGCTTAGACTGAACTACTCCATCTTACATTTTAAACATCCCTTCAGCAAACATTCTGTCTTTAAAATGAGTTGGTTCCTGTCTTTACCACAACAGAAACAGGGATTAGGGCTAGCCCTGGATGTGCTATGACCAGTGCTGATGAGTACATTACACCTGGATTATTACCTTTAGCTAACATGCACATTAAGTACTGCCCAGCCCTGAGAGAAACCTTATCTCCAGGGACATGCTGCTCCTGACCAAGGTGTTAAAGGGTTTCACAGGCTGTGCTCTATGGAAGGGTATTGCAGTGTACCAAATGGGCTGAGCAGTTACTCGTGGTGCAGTCCCTGAGCAAAGATGACCACACAGAGAGGGCTCAGGCTGTGCTGGGCTTGTCTCTGCTCACATCGTGGGAGAAAACACAGCATCCTTCCTGTGAGGGCTCCCCTCTGCTGCAGGGGTAGGTGTCTGTCTCAGACAGCTGGCAGGACATTTAAATCTCCTTCCACCCCCTAAGCCAGGATCTGCTGGGGATCTGTAGCCATAGATCCCTGTATGAGGGAATTGATCATATTAGCCTGTCCCCCAACAGCTGCATAGGGGAAGAAATACTGTATGGCATCACATCAGCCATGTGCTGTGTGTATTCCAGACGACTTCTTCCAAAGACCATGCTTTTAAATAGATTAAAGCATGATGCCAAGGGAAGAAGTGATTTTCCAAATGCCGATTTCCTTACATTCTAAGTAGCTGCAGAATTAAGGCCTGAGAACAACAAAAAAACCCCAACAAATCCCTGCTAGTCCCCAGTTCTGAATTCCCAATTTGCACCCAGGCTGTTAGCACCTGTTCTCTAGCACTCTTCACTAACACACTACAGAACAAAGGTTGTAGCACAGGGTGCAGGCAGCCTCTCCCCAGCTGTATGTTTAACTTAAGCAACTCTATGAGAAGCAGAGGGGACAGGTCTGCCCAGGACAGGTGGTGGCAGCTGCTTCAGGAGGTTTGGGAGGGTAACCTGCAGGCCCTGCCTCCTTCACCACAGGGTAAGGCCCCAAGCATACACCCTTTGGCACTATTTAGTGAGGCCAGGGCAGGTGTGGGAGGGGAGGGTCACATCTATAATACACAGGAGCTCCATCCTAGGTGGTGTGGTTCTGCCTCACAAAACTAGTTGGTAAATTTCTCTGAGATAGTCAGGCCCAAAGCAGCATCAGATGCAGCTGATTAGAGCTGGGGTGTAATGCCAGAACCAGCTATGGACACCTGGCACAGCAGCTCCAGGGTAGGAGTAGATGAGTACATGCTACAATTATTTTTCCTCCTGAGCAGCAATTGTCTAAGGTGAAGTTGGCTACGATGGTTTTTCATAAGGCAGAGGTTGGCTGCCACAGCTGTTGGGTGGCATATCCCGTTTTCAATCCCCTCACTTAATCCAAATGCTGATCCAATTGCTGGTCTTAAATCCTGCAGGAATCGGAACTCATTTGTCTTTATCGACATTGTAGGGTACAATTATCCATTACAAGTTGCAGCAGAACCTTTCTTTTTAAGAATTAACAAGGGCCCTGGGTAAGTGCATTAAGTAAATGCAATGCTGGAGGGAAGAAAAGCTATCTCTTCTCTTGGTTAAAATCAAAATCCTTCCTCTTCAAGCAATCCTTCTTCCAGCCTTCATTGAAATGAGTAGTTCTTGGTGCGAAACTTGGTGCAGGGTCAAGGAGTGAGAAGCCTTTAGTTCTCTGTTCTGCCTCAAACCCTATTCTGAACGTGGCCAAAACAGAGAAAGGGTGAGTTACCTGAACACCACATGTAGTAGCCTTGTCCAGGCAAGCAATGAGCACACTTACCTGCCAGTTCTGACCCACAGAAATAAGCTGTGCTGTCCTGTGAAATCAAACACTCCACTGCCATTCCTCCCTCCCCTTGTCTTCTGGACAGCCACAGGGCAGCCTGGGCAATGCCAAACCACAGGCAGGAGGAGCCCTGGGGCTGCCCTCAGCTGCTGCCACACACCAGGGAGGTGTAGAGGTGCCTAACGGAGCTGCAGAGCAAACACTCTGGTGCACACAGCAGCAGCATCTTCCAGCTCCCACTTGGTGCTGTGAGGATGTGGTGCTGCTGCCACAGCCCCACTGAGAACTCCAGGCTGTTGGGCAACCTAGGCACTCAGGCTGAAACCTACAGGCACTGTG